ACAATTTTCAGGTTTTGTTCTTGAGAACTAGGGGAGCAGGGAGGGATGTTGATGCCATTAATAAGAGAAGAAATACAGAAGAGGAGCTAAATTTGAGGTTGAATTTAAGGTGTTTGCAGGCCATATACTACTGGTGATATCATCATGCTGCTGATGTGCACATGTAGAGATAGGCAGGAAGGTCTAGGATGCAAATACATATGTAAAAGAAGCTGGGGCTTGGGAAGGAGTAGCAGAGACATAGAGTATGAGAGCCAATTTCTGAACTTTGGGCATAACATTTAAAGGGAGGGTTGAGAAAGATAAGCCAGTGAGACAGTTTAAGATTCTATATAGGTAGAGGGGGAAAAGAAGATGGAGAAAAGTGTCAAGTGTTGTATAGAGGTTAAGAAACAAGAGTAGTGAGAGGCCACTAGATTTGTAATCAGTGGGCTATTGCTATTCTTTGAGAGGGCAGTCTTAATGGATGGGAAGTAGATCTTAGGATCAATCAAGAGCAGGTAGAGGGCTATCACTGGCAGAGAGAATTCTTGGGGCAGGTATGTGACAAGAGAGACACATGAGCCCTTGTACACAGAAAATGGAATAGAATTGGGAAGAGTGTCAGAAGGAGGCAGTTCCTCTAAGCAGCCTGAGTAACCCGAAATGAAGCTGATGCAGGGACATTAATGGGTTCAGCTATGAGGTGGGGGGGGGGGAGGGTCTGTTCATCCAGCTCTTCTCAGGCTGAGGGCTGCCCTCCTCCCATTGAGTGCTGTCCTATTGAATTGTTCCAAAGAGTAGTAGTCATTGTAGAAGTAGTAGTAATATTGTAGAGTTGTAGAAACCTTTCAGATAAACCTAGGTTATGAAGAAAGAGCCTTATATTTTTCAAGACAATTCACAAAAGAGAAATCAGCTTCCTTACTGATTTATAACATAACGCAGTAATCAAATTTCTCTATAATAGTGAGCAATCCCATCATGACACATGTGCTCTTTCCTGCTTCTCTTCAAGGAAAGATGCTCTAGATACTTGCAATGTATTTGTTCCCTGTTTAGAAGTATAATGTAAAAGAACTGAAAGGAAGCAAAGGTAACTCAGAACTCCTAAATTCTACAAGTTATTTAAAACAGCACTGGTAATAGCAAGCCCATTAAAAAAATTTTTTTTAATGTTTATTTATTTTTGAGAGAGATCACTTCTCGGCCTTTTGGCTAAGATCAAGTGTATTTAATTTTGAGAGAGAGACAGAGCATGAGCAGGGGAGGGACAGAGAGAGAGAGGGAGACACAGAATCTAAAGCAAGCTCCAGGCTCTAAGCTGTCAACACAGAGCCCAACACAGGGCTTGAATTCATGGACAATGAGATCATGACCTGAGCCTAAGTCGGATGCTTAACTGATTGAGCCACCCAGGCAAGCCGCTTTATGTAACAGTAAGATATAGTCTGCTTGTACTGCTTAGGCTCAGTATCCTCTGCAACATGTCCAGGACTTGGCCTTAGTGTGGCCCTGACAGGGACCTAGATATGATTGCTAGACAATTGCTTTCTGAATTCTGATTAGTTTCAGATTGATGAGCTACTTGCCTTTTTCAACTGGGATAGAATTGCTACATGGGTGTCAGGGAATGCTATAAACTTTCTATTTCATTTTGTTTTATATCATATATTTTTTAAACTGTAGAACTTGTATGATAGTGAAGAATTACTGCTAGAAGGAGATAGACAAATTAGGAAAACCTTGGATCCTAGATAATTTAGAGCCAGAAGTTCTGGCAATGTCTTTTCTCTGCCTCAGTTATATACCTTACACTACCTTAAATCAGAAGCTGGTTTGGAAGTATGGAAAGAGAAAATACTGTTGATTTTACTTCCATTTTCTAAGCCACACTTTGGAATAAACTATGCATTTTTTTCCAGCAGAATGAACTACTTTTTTCTAAGGATTTACCAAAAGGGAAAAAAATGTCAGAAACTCTTTTAGAACTTTCCCTAGGTCAATGCAGAGTCAGGAACAATCACATAGTTATGGCAGCTTCCCTCTCTCAATAATTTTACATAGGGGAAGTCAAAGTATATTGAGCATCAAGTGAAAAAATGTATAAAAAACAATACGCAAGTTTGCAAGGTATATGTGAGTGAAAAAAAGGCAGCCCTGTCTGTTTTGCCTGGAGATCTAGGGTTATAAAGGCTGGAAAAGAAAAAAACAGAGTGGGGTAAAACCTGATTTTGGGTACGAACCACAGGTCTTATAGCGTGGCTTGTAAAGTAACTGTCTTGTCCCCTAACTACTTCCCTGGGTCTCTGTAGACCTGCAATCAATAAATTATCTCTTAAAGACTCAAGTCTGACCTTGCAAAGTGCCATAATACAGAAAGAACTCTGTAATTATCATCACTGTCTCTACTTTCTCTCTTCCTATTCACTCCCATCAATTGAAATCAGGTTTTGTCCCTGCTTCTCTGATAAAACTATCCTGGAAAGGTAAAGACTTCCCTGTTGTTAAATCTAGTGATACCTTGTTGGCCCTTACCTCACTTCCATACTCTCTCTGGCATTTGGACATGCCCATCTTCTAGGGACACTCTTACTTTGGACTCTTATGTCACTATTCTCTCTAGCCTTGTCATCCATTTGCTCCTCTCAGTCCCCACTCTTATTGTTATAGTTAAATCCTCATTGTGGCATCTTATTGTGGTTTTGATTTGCATTTTCTTAAGGACAAATGATGCTGAATATCTTTTCATGCATTTTATGGTCATCTTTGTATCATTTTTGGAGAAATGTCTATCCAATTCCTTAGGTACATACCCAAGAGAAATGAAAGCAGATGTCCAAACAGAAAATTTGTATACAAATATTCATCACCCATTAAAAAACTGGTTTGCTGTTTTGCTGATGAGTTTGTAAAAGTTATTTATATATTCCGAATACTAAACCTTATTGGATATATGATCTGCAAAAACTTTCTCCTTTTGTGTGGATTGTTTTTTCAGTTTCTTGATGATGTCCCTTGAAGCATAAAAATGCTTAATTTTGATGATGTCTAGTTTATCTGTTTCTTTTTTTTTTGTGTGCTTTTAATAATATACCCAACAAATCATTGCCTAATGAAGGTCACAAAAATTTATGCCTGTTTTCTTCTAAGAGATTACATCTTTAGTTACTATATTTACATCTTTGACTCATTTTACATTAGGTGTGAGGTAGGTATCCAAATTCACTCTTTTTGCATGCGGCTCTCCAGTCATCCCCATCATTTGCTAAAGAAATTATTCTTTTCCTTCTCCATTGAGTTGCCTGGCATGTTTGCCAAAAATCATCTGGCCATAAATTTGAGGGTTTAATTCCAAACTCTCAGTGATATTCCACTGACCTATGTCTGTCCTCATGTCAGTCTCATACAGTCTTGATTACTGTGGCTTTGTAGTAAATGTTTAAATTGGAAAGTGTGTGTCCTTCAAATTTGTTCTTTTTGTTTAAAAACATCCACTTCTATATTAATTTTCAGATAATTTTCTTAATTTCTGCAAAGAAGTCAGCTGGGATTTTATATTGAATCTCTAGATCAATTTGGAGAGTATTGCTGTCTTAATATTAAGGTTTCCAAACTATGAACATGAGAAGTATTTTCTTTTTATGTTTATTTATTTTAAGACACACACACACACACACACAGAATATGAATCCCAGGCAGGATCCACACGCTGTCAGCGTTGAGCCCCATGCAGTGTTCCATCCCACGAACTGTGAGATCGTGACCCAAGTTGAAATCGAGTCAGATGCTTAACCTACTGAACCCCCCCGGTGCCCTGAGAAGTGTTTTCATTTATTAGGGTTTTCTTTAATTTCTTTCAACAATATTTGTAGTTTTCAGAGTAAGAGCTTTGTACTTTTGTTAAATGTATTACCAGTAACTATTCTTCTTGATGCTATTCTAAATGGAACTGTTAATTTCATTTTTTTTTTGTTTGTTCATTGTGACTGTAAAGAAATAGAATTGACTTTTGTTTATTAGCCTTTTATCCTGCAACCTTGCTCAACTCATTTCTTAGTTCTAATAATTTTATAGTGGATACCTTAGGATATTCTGTATATTAGATTCTGTCTTTAGTGAATACAGATAGTTTTACTTTTTCTTTTCCCATCCTGTCCACCACAAGTACAGGTGAGGTGTGGATTTTTCGAAGATGCTTTTTATTATTAAGTTGAGGAAGTTTCTTTCTATTTCAAATTTGAGGAGTGTTTTTATCAGAAAGGGATGTTGAATTCTGTCAAATGTTTTTTTTTTTTTTTCATCAATTGAGATGACCGTGTGTGGTCTTTATCTTTTACTCTATTGATGTGGTGTGTTACATTAATTAATTTTTGGATATTATACCAACCTTGCATTCTTAGATTAAATGTACATGAATATTTCTTAGGTTGAATTCAGGAAGAGTAAATTATCTGAGGACTGAGTAAAAATTAATTCAATAAAAGGCCAGAGAAACAAGACTGGAAAATAATTTCCATTTTAAGATAGTAACTAGTTAGAAATCCTAGAAACTTTGGAAATACAAATGTTACTGTGAAAAGATTAAAAAAGGCTGTAAGAATATAAATTAATGCACAACTCTTTGAGTCCTCTACTTTTCCATTAAAGTCCTGGAACTAAATATTCATAATATTCTGGATTCAACAAAATTTAACAACCTGTCTCAAATATCCCTACTCTATAAAAATTACTTTAATGCTTTCCTCATAAATTGCTCAATCTTTTCTATTTTTCCCTCCTTCCCTTTCTCTCTCCCTCCCTCCTTCTCTTTCTCTCATACACACATCTTTGCCAGGTATTATCCTAAATAAGAGTATCACTGATTTCTATCCTGTTTGGATATTCTTAAGTACTTACCCCCCAAATGGTATCAATTGGGAGTATAGTGAGGTTACTTATGATCTTTGAATCAGCTTCTACCCTTACTACCGTTAAAGAGAGAAGACCCTCATAGACAACCATAAAGACAGAAAACTTACTTTTAATTATGACCCCAAGAATGATCAATATCTCTATTAACAGGGACAGGGGCTTCATCTTCTCATAAGCAGTTCCTCCTTACTTATAACACAGGCAGAACTAGGTGGCTGGCCCACAAGTTTCCTCTTTACAGGTTTGCAGGGGTCAGGATTTGGTTGCTAAGCAACCATTTCCTTACTCTTGGGCCAATGAGCTTCCAGAAAGTTCCTTTCAACTGGAATGAAGGCAGCTACTGGAGAGAGCAGGCTACGGGGAGGGAACCATATCTAGTCTGCTAGTCTGGTGGGAGGGAGATAAGGAGTATGTTTAAGATATGTAAGAGTTGCTCTCTGAAAGGAAAGAAATAAACCAGAAGTCCAATTTGTACATGTCCACAATAACATTCAACTCATTTTCAGAACTGCTAGAAGTGTTTATTTTTATGTTACCTTCAGTGTTGCAAGCTGCACTTATATGAAAACACAATTAAGTACGTGAGCTGACCTAACATCATCCTTCACTCTAACATCTGAAGGCGATGGTGCAAGGGAAGCATATGGATCAAGTCTGCTTTTGTCGCCATCTTGGTGAAAATGTTTATCCTCTTTTTGAGTAAAGAACTGCTGAGGTTTTACTGGAACAAAGGCAAACAAATTCCAGTGATCATTTTTTTTTAAAAGGCATTTCATTACACTTTCCTTAAAAGTTATTTAAAAATGCCCTCTTCATTGTCTTTAACAATATGGGCAGTTCATAAGTGAGTACCCTCAAGGCTTGAACCAGAAATGAAAATGAATATTTAGGTAAAAGCATGGGAATATTAAGACTATCCAAGGAATGGAACTGAGAAATTATGCCTAAAATATATCCAACATTTACAGTGTGTACAGGTAATTACTTCAGAAATAGACATATTTATTGCCTTGAATTTCCAGGTTTACTCCCTTTGTTAGTTTCCCAATGCTTTAATCTCTCTCTGTCTTCCTCTTACAAGGACACTTGTGATTACATTTAGGGCCAACCATGATAATATCGGATAATCTCCCCATCTCAAGATCCTCAGTCACATCTGCAAGTCCCTTCTGCCAAATAAGGTAACATTCACAGGTTCCAGAGATTAGATCCTGGAAATCTTTGGGACCATTATTCTGTCTATTCCCTAGTATCTTTTCCTTTCACCAAGGGACTTCAAAATGGGACTTTCCTAACTTCTGTACTTTTAAAAATTGCCTAAATATAATTTATTTAAACTCTTAAATATAATCTGTTAAACATTTTCCAAATATTTTTTGCATTCCCCATTTGGATCCAGATTTATCAGTATCTTTCAGCAGATGATTTTGCCTCCTACTTTCACTGAACTGAACTCATTGGACCTATCTTCCCTCTACTTTCTTTTCATTAAAATTTTTTTTGAATCTTCATTCTTTTTTCAAATTCATCACAAAAGATGAAATGCTTTTTCTATACTCCAAGTCCAAGACTTCCCTCACTTTTGATTCTATCCACATTTGCTTTATCTTTTTCTAGTATTTCTGACATTTGTCCTTCTTTTCTCTCTTTTGTCTCAATCTTTTGTCACCAATCTTCTTAATTTAAACACTTTTCATTTCATTTCATGTCTCTTAGAAAAATTTTCCCTTGACTCTGGTGTCCTTCCAACTACTATGTACTTTACTTATCCTTTAATCTCTAAACATTAAAACAAAACAGACCACAATCACTTCTCATTGCTTTTCACTTTTTCTTCAACTACTTGTTTTTATTTTCACTGATTTACATAGACTATAAATTCAATGATCTTTTCTCAGTTCTCATCCTACTTGATCTGTGAGATATCTGATATTTCTAACCACAAACATCTTCTTGAAAACATATTTTTGGTTTCTCTGAAAATTGAGCTGCAAATATTTTTCTACTTGCTTGAACACAATTTTTCACTCATTCTATCACTTCCTCACCTATTCATTCACTTATTGAATACCTACTATATGCTAATGATGTATGCCATTCTTTTTCAGGCATTCGTTAATTTCACTTGTCAGTTACTCTCTTAGTCTTTGCTTTAAAATTATGGCCTCCCCAAGGTAACCTCTTTTGGTCTCATGTGCTCTTCCTCAGTTTTACCAACATCTCTGTATGGACGCTCATTCTTCTCATTCAATAATTTTTATTGAGAATCTATTTTGTATCCGGCATTGTGTCATTCTCTGTGGGCAAAGAGATATACTTCCTGTCCTCAGAGAGTGAAAGAGAGTCCAGAGTGAAAGATAAATATTAACAAAAGAATCACTCAAATATATTTATAATTTCAAAGTGTAAAAAATGCTATATAGGGAAGTAAATGAGCACTGAGGGCATATAAAAGAACACGTGGGTAGGGCTCAGGTGGGGTCAGTGTTAGGGAAGGCTTTGCCAAGGAGTGATTTTTGAGCTTAATAAGAATAAGAATAAGAGTAGGTCCACTAAGGGGTGCCTGGGTGGCTCAGTCAGTTAAGCGTCCCACTCTGGATTTCAGTTCAGGTCATGATCTCACAGTTCGTGTCAGTTTCCTGCTTGGGATTCTCTCTCTTTCTCTCTCTCTGCCCCTCACCTGCTCATGTGTACTCTCTCTCTTTCAAAATAAATAAACAAACATTAAAAAAAAAGAACAGTTAAAAAAAAAGAATGGGTTCACTAAGCAAATCATGTCTCAGTTACAGTGGCAAACATGTGAATAGACCATATGGTGAGAATAAGATGTGTTCAAGGAAGTGAAAAGCTCTATGGTTGGTATGCATGAAACCAGAAATTGGGTGGTGGGGGTAAGGAGAATTGGTAGGTGATGAGCCTTCTATTCTTAATGATTTAGTTTTTATAAGACTGTATAAGTCAGCTTGGGCTGCAATAGTAAAAGGCTATAGATTGGGTGACTTAAACAACAGAAATTAATTTTCTCACAGTTCAGAATGCTGGCATAGCCTGGTTATGGCAAAGGCTCTTGTCCCATATTGCAGATGGGCACCTTCTCACTGTGTCTTCACATGGCATGTATAGGGGGAAGGGGGGAGGAGGAGGAGGAGCAAGAGTGGATATACATATATATATATAATATATAATATATAATATATAATATATAATATATAATATATATAAAATATAATACATATTAATATAATATATGATATAATCATGTACAATATAATATATATTATATAATATACAATATAATAATATATAATGTATATATAATATTATATATATATGTACATATATCTTCCTCTTCTTATAAGGCCACAGTCCTACTGGATTAGGGTCTCACCCTTATGATCTCATTTAACCTTAACTATCTCCTAAGCACCCGGTCTCTACATATAATAACACTGTCAGCTAAGATTTCAATAAATAAACTTTGGGGGAATACAATGAAGTCCATTACAAAGACCACTAGAAAGTCATTGAATAATTTACAACAGTGATTTACAACATGATCACATTTCACAACATGATCACATTTGAAAATGTGATGCAGGGGATAGAATGGACATAAGAGGGGCAAGAGAAGACACGGGGGCCACTTAAGAAGTCTTTGTAGTAGTCCAGTTAAAATTCACACTGAGCTTATTGCAGTGTCATTGGAAAGGTGAGCAATTCAAGAGTGATACAGGAGATAAAATTGAGAAGGTATAGCAGTTCATTTGAAATGAGAATAAAGTTATAAGAGGTATCAGGGATAGTGTTTAGGTTTCTAGATTGTTCAACTGAATGGGTGATGAGCCATTCAAAGAGATAAGAGACACTGGAAGAAGTCTAAGTGTGGGGGAAAGATCATGAGCTCAGTGTGGTACATGGTACATTTCAGGTACTTTTGAGAGAGTAAATATTAATATTTAACACTTTTCAATGATAATGGTATTTTATCAGAATAGTTAATGCTAAAACAAATACCCTCTAAATACCAATGCTGTAACATAATAAAAGTGTTTTGTTTATATCATAGCTTGATGTGGTATTCCTTGGATCCTTGAGATACTCCTTCAAGCAGTGATCACTCAGGGATCCACGCTCCTTCCTTCTTGACATGCTGCTTCTGAGATCACCATGAAAAGAAAAGAGAGAATATGCATAAGTGTACAAAAGATTTGATGGCCTGGAATGGCATACATCACTTTTGCCTTATAACCCACTCAGCATACAGTTACACATCCTATCTAACTTCGGGGGAGGCTGGGAAATATCATTTTTCTATGGGCCAAGAGAAAGAAAATTGTATTAGTGATCATCTTTGCCACATTTACTAGGTGGTAGTCACTTTATGTGTTTTAATGCATTCAATCCTCACATCAATCAAGGTAGATACTATATTACCATCTCCATATAATAATTTAAATAAGCAAGGTGTAGAGACTTTGAGTAACTTGCCAAGCAAGGGTCACAAAGTCAATAAGGGTAAACGTAGGATTTGAATCCAGATGGTCTGGCTTCAAATACCTTTTAGCCAGTGCATAATGCTGCCTCTTAAAGTTGTGATACAGTATATGGTAGCACATATAGGTCTAAAGTTCAAGAAGAAATTTTTATCGAAAATAATAAATTTGGCAGTCATTGGTATAACCCGGATTGCCAATCTCAGCAGTGTTGACATTTTGGGCCAGATGATTTGTTGTGGGGGGCTGAACCATGCACTTTAGGATGCTTAGCAACATCCTTGACCTCTTCCCACTAGATGCCAATAGCATTCTTTTCTCAGTTGCAATAACTAGAAATGTCTCCAGACATTGTCAGTGTTCCCTACAGGGCGAAACTTCCCCTGGTTGAAAATCACTATTATAACTGAACCATGGGGGCGCCTGGGTGGCGCAGTCGGTTAAGCGTCCGACTTCAGCCAGGTCACGATCTCGCGGTCCGGGAGTTCGAGCCCCGCGTCGGGCTCTGGGCTGATGGCTCAGAGCCTGGAGCCTGTTTCCGATTCTGTGTCTCCCTCTCTCTCTGCCCCTCCCCCGTTCATGCTCTGTCTTTCTCTGTCCCAAAAATAAATAAACGTTGAAAAAAAAAATTAAAAAAAAAATAACTGAACCATGAATACGGATAAAGTTGTTAAAAAAAAAGAGTATATAGTGAAAAGAGATAAGGGGATAAGACTAAGTCTTAATGAACTCCAAAATGTAATGGCTGCAAAGGAAGATGGGC